CTAGGAATCCATGGCTCTCCCTGACAGTTGATTGAAAGAGATACATTGCAGTGTAGGTGGATTTTTGCAGGTCCTTTGGCCCCCACAAGGGCCCGACAGTTCCTCCAGGAGCTCTGCAATGAAGCAGCAGTGGGGCTTACATGCAAGATAGTTCCATGAACAGCCTGCACTTTTCTGTAGCCCCCATGCTAACAGACTGGAAGTGACTCAAGCTGTACACCGGGATCCACTAGGTGAGTTCCACAATCCTTCAAATTGCATTTGCGAGCAAAAACCTGATTGATTTATTAGACTTGTATAAGTGTTGCTTGTGTCTCAGGAATGTTTTTAGACTTTTATGTTGTGTTTTATGTTGAATGTTTAAAATGGAATTTTTCTCTGTTGGGGGCTTTTAGCCCTAATGTGTCAGTATGCACCGTGGCAAGCGATCTCCTATAGCGCTCCTGTCCATCACAGGCACTGCCATCTTCTCCAGGTTCTGACTCTTCAAGCACTTGGCTGGTCTGGCCGCAATGATGTCACTCTTGTGTAGGCGCATGGGAGTTACATCATCGCAGGACAGAGCAGTTCCAAAAACCTCAGCTGTGCATACGGCTTTACCTGTCAGCTTTTTTTTTTTTTTAATAATTAAACCCGGTATTAAATCCTAAACCAAAAATGTTCTGTATTGCAGTTTACCGATCATTAGATGTGGTGGCTGCATTAGTTTTCTTTTTGTAGCTTATTTCCCTCTGTTTTTACCTGGTGATCCAGCCAGTAACACACTTTCTGAATTAGCATGCTTCAAAAGGAGCAGCAGGGGGCGCCTTTAAACAGCAGCATTGTTAATCTGAGGGAGGGGAGTGTTAGATGTACTAGCAGATTTAGATAAACTAACAATTTGAATCCAGACTTCAAGTTATACCAAAAGCTAGTTTTTTATTTTTTATTAAATAACCAACATATCATACTTACCTGCTATGTGCAGTTGTTTTGCACAGAGTAGTGCCGATCCTCCTTGGGGAACCCGTGGCAGTTCTGGCTCCTCCCCACCTGAGCAGTGCCCCCTTAGCAAGCTGCATGCTATGGGGGCACTGGTGCGTGCTCACTCCCGAGCCCCGCTCTTTGCGTCCATAAGACACAGCAGAGCATGGATCAGCCCTGCCCCCCACTCCCTCCTTGCAGCTGTGATTAACAGCTCCCACTGCTGTGTCTGAGCCAATGAGGAGGGAGAGATACGGGAGAGCCGGGGCTCCTGTGTACATCACTGGACTGAGATCAGGCTCAGGTAAGTATTAGGGGAAGCTGAGGAGGCTGCTGCACACTGAAGTTTTTTTACCTTAATGCATAGAATGCATGTAGGTAAAAAACCTTCAGCCTTCAGAACCACTTTCAGGAAACAGTTTGTAAGCAAAGACCGCAACAATTATTGGTTTTTACATAAATAAATAAAAAAGCACCCTTGTCAATGGTAAATGGTCTGCCTCAGCCCTCTAACTGCTACATCAGCAGGACAGCTTCTTCTGTTGAAAAACAACAGACCTACTGGCTAGATCACCAGGGGAAAGGAAAGGAAAGAAAGCCTAAAAAAAAAAACAAAATTCATGCAGCCATTACATCTAAGAATTGGTAAGCTGCAATATAATAAATGTTAGCTTGTGGGTTTAATATCGCTTTAATTCCACTTTAGCATTGATAATGCACAGATGCTTTAGGTAGATTCACATCTTTATGTGTGTGTGTTTTCATTCTTTTTTTTGTGTTACCCTAGGGTCACACCTAAGCGTTTTCTGCAGCGTTTTGCAGAAACGCAGTACAGTCCATTTAACATGGTTTCCTATGGGACATGTTCACATCTGTGCATTTTTTGGAAAGGGTCAGGGACTTTTTTGAACGCAACAAAAGTTGAGTTTTTGGTTCTATAGACTTCAATGGAAATGCTACAGAAAAGCATGTATTGCATTTTTGCTGCATTTTTGATGCGTTCTTGATGTGTTTTGCGATTTAAATCTACCTAGCAACTAGAAAAATAAAAATGATGCAATACGCATCAAAAACGCAAGTGCAAAAACACAATGCAGAAACGGCTCCAACGCAACCTGCTTAGGTGTGAACCTAGCCTTATGAACAATCCTGCATTTTCATGCGTTGCCATTGTCATTAAGAGACACGCATCGGCTCATCAGTGAAAAACAGGCCACACATCGCACACGTGAACTAGCTTTACTCTATTAAATGTCTAACCTATGTCTATGGGCTGTTTAATCTGCATCCATGTGTTGCTGTGTGTTGAAGTGCATACATGTGAATGGACCCTTGCACTATTTGAAATCATGGGGCCCCCATGCCGCCTGACTGCTGCCTATAAAAACTTTATTGCTCATGCACAGTAATGCCACAAGCTGCTGCTTCCAGCAATTAAATATAAGTTCCCTGGGCCCTATCAGTTCAACTGCAGGGGCCTTGGATAGAGGGGGGACTATTTACTCATTTTTGGGAACAGGCAGCATGATCCCCCACAGCACGGCTCCGGACAATTAAATGAAGGTTCTGACCTGCCCCAGTGGATTGACATACAATAGGCCGGGACTTTATTTGTTGGGAGCCACGGCACGGAAGATTACTCTGTCTGCCCCAAAAAATAGGTAAATAGCCCCCTCTGTCCCCAGCCCCTTCTGCCGAACTGATGGGACCTGGAGAACTTTTATTTAACCAATTCAATACAGGGCACTTTTACACCTTCCTGCCCAGGCCATTTTTCAGGTCTCAGCGCTCTCACACTTTGAATGACAATTGCGCGGTCATACAACATTGTACCCAAACTACAATTTTATAATTTTCTTCACACAACTAGAGCTTTCTTTTGGTGGTATTTAATCACCGCTGGGGTTTTTTATTTTTTGCTAAATTAACATAAAAAAACTGAAAATTTTGAAAAAAAACCCATGTTTTTCTTTGTTTCTATTATAAAAGTTTGCAAATAAATAATTGTTCTTCATAAATTTAGGCCGAGATGTATTCTGCTGCGTCTTTGGTGAAAATAACCCAAATTAGGATGTATTTTTTAGTTTGTAGGAAAGTTATAGAGTTCACAAACTATGGTATAGATCAGAATATTGATCAATCCTGAAGTACTGACAGCCATCTAATTTCTTGAGGTCCAAGAATGTCAGAACAGTACAGATATCCCCCAAATGACCCCTTTTTGCAGAGTAGACAGTCTGACGTACTTCATAAGAGGCATGGCAAGTTTTTTGAAGTTGTATTTTTTTTGGCATAATTGTTCGGAAAATGAAAAAATAAAAAAAAATATTTTCACTATTTTTTTTTACATACTGTCACCAGTGCAGTACAGCGTCATCATATAACTGGCATGGCGGTGATCAGGGACACTGACTGGTGACAGTGTGAAAAAAAAAATATATATATATATTTTTTTTTTTTTTTATTTTAAATTTTTTATTACTTTTTTTCTTTTCTTAAGATTTTTTTTTTTCATATTTCACTATGACCAAAGTAATCAGTATTTTTTTTTTTTTTTTACACAATTTGCTTATAGCAAGCATTTACCTGAATGACATCGATTCATTCAGGGTTTTTTTTTTTTTTTTTTTTGTGCTTAGCTGTGATTTGGCCACAGCTAATCACATGACATGTGCATGTGATCGCTGTGACCATTCACAGCTAGACACTAGTATACAATGGATGGCATGAATGAAGCCATCCATTGTATACAACTGTCATGTGACCGGTCACATGGTACCGGCAACTCAGATCTGTCATCGGCTGTGTCTGAGGAACACGGCCGGTGACAGATTGCGCCGCTGCGCGGCTCTGCAAGCGCGCAAACTGTGCATGTGCGGGAGGACGCCAAATGGCGGCCTCCCGGAAAGCTAGTGCATTTTTCTGGACGCCATACGGCTATTGGCCGGGCGTCAAATGGTTAATTGCTGGGAGCTACAGCCCATGGAATCACCCCAGGTTCACACCTAAGCGTTTTCCGAAGCATTTTGCAGAAACTCACTACAGTCCATTTAATATGATTTCCTATGGGACACGTTCACATCGCCGCGTTTTCACCCGGTGCATTTTTTGGAAAGGGTCAGGGACTTTTTTAAACACAAAAAGGTGCGTTGTTGGTTCTATAGACTTCAATGGAGATGCTGCAGAAAAGCATGTAGTGTGTTTTTGCAGCGTTTTTTTCTGCATTTTGAATTTGAATCTGCCTAGCAACAAGAAAAAAAATGCAAACTGCATCAAAAACGCAATAAAAACGCTGCAAAAAGCCCTGCAGAAACATATCAAACACAAACTGCATAGGTGTGAACCTAGACTTACTGTGTGTGCACCAAAAAGGTATTTACAGAGCCCGCTCTCTGCCCCCAGGCCCCCAGCTGAACTGATGGGCTGGAACCTGGTACAATAGGGCCGGCTCTACCCTCCTTTTAGCAGCCCCGCTCATCTGTCCTGCATTGTACCCTAGAGAATGTTGACAATATTGAACATGAAACCTTCCAGGAACAGTATGCTGATGATCCAGTATTTAAAGCTGCCATATGCATTACAGACTGTGAATCACTATATAGCCAAGGCTGAAGTATTCATTTAAAGCGCAAGCACACTTTTCAGAAATAATACACTAGTCCACCCTCCTTAGCCCCCTAGCCTCTGGACAGAATTATTGTTGAGCAGTGGCTGTCTTTTGTGCAATGAGCCCCCCAAGACTTTAAGACCCCACACCAATGCAGCGCGGGAAATGCTGCGAATCCTGTGCGTTTCCCACAGTGCATTACAATCGCATTCATACGATCTGGTGTGATGGTCAATGATAAATGAATGGCACCTCAAAACAGATCACAAAACACGATGCGATTGCCAAAAATCACATTGCATGGGTGAGAATACCCATGCGATGCGATTCAGGTGCGGTTTTAAAAAAGGGTCCTGCACCTTTTTTGGTACAGATGCAGTGTGATTTGAGCCATACAAATTGTGAAAACAGAAGAAAAAAGCCTAAAAAAGAAAACTAATGCAGCCATCACATCTAAGCAGGGGCGGACTGACCATTTAGAAACTCGGGCACTGCCCGAGGGCCCGGGTCAGTAGGGGCCCCCATGAGATGCCCCTGGTACCTTTTTTCATAGGCTTTTTTGAGTTTGGGAAAGGACACAGGGGCCCCATGATCCCCTATTGCCCGGGGGCCCCATGAGTTGTCAGTCCGCCCCTGCATCTAAGAATCAGTAAGCAGCAATATAATAAATGTTTGCTGTTGGGTTTAATACTGCTTTAACCGCTTCCTGACCACGTTATAGTTGAATGACAGCTACAGTGTGGTCGTCCAGTTCTGGGAGGGCATCAGATGATGTCCTTCCAGAACGCGCCCCAAGCAGTGCGCACCCAGCTAGGGTTTCCACCTCATCCCTTTAAACCTGAACACATTAATTACACAGGTTCTGAGGCTAGTTTAACCCTTTGTCACTGACTTCACACAAATATGCAGCCTCACAGAACTGGGCTTTGTTCCGTGGGGCCGCATATTTACGTGCCGGTGTATTTTCATGTATGATGCGCTCCCAACACAAAGACCGTAGTGTCACTGAGAGTTCTAAGAACTCATGATTCCGGGTCACATGATAACATGATCGCTGTGATAACCTCTGATTAGCTATTACAGTGATCAGTCACTGTGAAGACCGCCCCTTGTTATTTTTTTTCTCTCTGAATGGAGGCGAGATACATTGTATCTCTCTCTCTCCTTGCAGAGAGAAAAAGAAACAACAGTGTGCAAAAAAACAAATAAATAAATAAATTTTACAAAATAAAAAATATAGAAAAATACCTAGATCAAGGTTTGATCTAGTTCAGTGCCAGGGTTAGTGTTTGGGTCAGGGTCCAAGGTCAGGTGTTTTTTTTTTTGTTTTGTTTATTTTTTTTTAATTGGTATCAGTGTCAGTTAGTGTCAGTGTATTTTAGATAGGGGGAAAAAAGCAAGATGTGCACTATTGTTTCTGGGCTGCACTATTATTTCTTTTATTTATTTATTTCAGGCAGGGGCGGACTGACCATTTGGAAACTCATGCACTGTCCGAGATCCCGGGGTCATTAGGGGCCCCCATAAGATGCCCCTGGTACCTTTTTCATAGGCTTTTTTGAGTTTGGGCAAGGACACAGGGGCTCCATGATCCCCTATTGCCTGGGGGCCCCATGAGTTGTCTGTCCGCCCCTGATTTCAGGTACTTATATAGCGCCGTCAATTTACGCAGTGCTTTACATATATATTGTACATTCACATCAGTCCCTAACCCTTAAGGAGCGTACAATCTAAGGTCCCTAATTTACATTCATAAATACACATATTAGGGCCAATATAGACAGGGGCCAATTAACAGGAGCCAAGGACAGTGCTTTAGCAACTTGTCTGCAGCGGGACCGGCCAGGAGTTGCACTGCAGGTGACATCAGTTTGACTAGCGCTCATTTGACTACTACGTTTGTTAATATTTGATTATATAGGACCCAACTCAACATTGGTTCATGAAATCTATACATGTAATCCACAAATCAATTGTATCAAGTGACAATCCAGCCATCCTGTCAGGTCTAAGGAAGAAGCGGAAGCTTTGCTTGACTCGTCTTCGCATTCCTATTGGATGTTGCCTGCGGCATGGTCTTCCGTACGTTCCACAGGGGTTGCGGCGTCCCTGACTGATGGCCCATGTTTGTACTGGACTCCCAGTGCCCGGGATCCAGTGGAATCACTCCGGCCGCTGCGTGTGTTTTTTGGACTCGATGGACACCTCTGTGCCTACCTCAGTTGCTAGCGCCCCCTTGTGTTTCCTTTTATATGAACACATTATAATCTCCATTAGAATAATTGGAAGTGTCCATTGAAACATGACAATTTTACCCTAGCATCCGACCGTCATCCTGATCCTTCCCTCACTACTTGGTCATTTACAATAATGCATACATCAAGCCCTGGTTCACGCTAGTGCGATTTCAGATGCAACTTGAGTCGCACAGAATCGCATGACAATGGAGATCACATTGTTTTCAATGGTGCCCGTTCATGTCATTGCAGCATGACATGACTTTGGAAGAGTCCTGTGCTACCTTAGTGTGATTCCAGCGCAATTTTGGCCCCACAGAACATGCAAACCAAATCCAAAACGCAACCAAATTGCACTACATAATCGCACTGAAATTTGGATCAAATCGCAGCGGCAGTAGTGTGAACTACTCCCTCCCCTCCTGGATGGCAGAACACAATGATTACTGCTAGTGGCTATAGCTGCAGACAGCAATCGCATGTAAAAAATCCAACAGGCTGGTTGTACCAAAGTCAATCAATGGATCGACTTAGGTACAACCAGCTTGCCCATAGTTGGATCAAACTTTGGGCAGTCCCAGCTGGACTGGTCAAGATTCGATCCATCTATGGCCAACTTAAGTGTTCAGATGAGAGCCTTGGAGCTGTCCTGGAGCCATGACCCTGAGATTGTGAACCCTACTTAGGCCCTAGTCTAGCTAGAACAGCAACCTGAGAAGGCTTCATAACTCTGACAAAATTACAAATGATTAAACCTTCAACTTTAGACGCAACTATTTAAAAAATCAATAAATCAAAAACTATACTTTTAGTTTGCCCCCAGGAGTGCAGCTGCCTGGTAAATACTTGTCTTCCTCCTTGCTCCCACAGTGATCACTGCTTGGTCCTGCCTGGTGCTGCACAGCCATTGAAAGGAAGACATCATGGGCATGTCCTCCTCCTACTGAGACAGAGTTGTATCAAAAGGTCTTTAAACACATTAACCCATGTATATATTCTCACATGTGCAGTAATTTAGTATTTACCAGGTGGTGTCTATGTAAACCTTTTTCATCACTTGGAGCAAGGGTCTCCAAACTTTCTAAACAAAGGGACAGATTACCATCCTCCAAACTTTAGGGGGGCCGGACTGTGGCCAATGGGAGTAGAAAATATCCTGGTGTCAGTAAACAATGCCCCATTATTGGTATTAGGGGGAGGAATAGTGCCCCATTGTTAGTATCAATGGGAGGAATAGTGTCCCATCGTTGGTGTCAGTGGGAGTAATAGTGTTCCATCGTTGCTGTCAGTGGGAGTAATAGTGTTCCATTGTTGGTGTCAGTGGGAGGACTAGTGCCCCATCATTGATGTCAGTGGGAGTAATAGTGTCCCATCGTTGGTTTCAGTGAGAGGACTAGTGCCTCATCGTTGGTGTCAGTGGGAGTAATAGTGTTCCATTGTTGGTGTCATTTGGAGGACTAGTGCCCCATCATTGATGTCAGTGGGAGTAATAGTGTCCCATCATTGGTTTCAGTTGGTTTCAGTGAGAGGACTAGTGCCCCATCGTTGGTGTCAGTGGGAGTAATAGTGTTCCATTGTTGGTGTCAGTTGGAGGACTAGTGCCCCATCATTGATGTCAGTGGGAGTAATAGTGTCCCATCGTTGGTTTCAGTGAGAGGACTAGTGCCCCATCATTGATGTCAGTGGGAGAAATACTGCCTCATTGTTGATATCAATCTGAGGAATTGTGCTGTATTGTTGTTATCAATGAGAGGAATAGTATCCCATAGTTGGCGTCAGTGGCAGGAATAGTGTCCCATCGTTGGTGTCAGGGATGAGGACTAGTGCCCTATTGTTGGTGTCAGTGGCAGGAACTATGCCCCACTGTTGCTGGCATTGGGGGGAACAAACATGCCTCAAGGTCCAGGAAAAAGCAAACAAAGGCCACATCTGGCCTCCGGGCCGCAGTTTGGAAACCACTGACTTAGAGAAAAGCTGCCATCATCTCTAACATAATAGGGCAGCCCCATTCCTAGGAAAACCCACTATGGGGGGGGGGGGTTAATTACATATTGATAATGGCTTTTATAGGGGAAACAGGGTCTTTTTAACAAAAGGTGGGCTTTTGTTTGAGAGGTGGTATTTGGGGTTTTCATATGTAGCCAGGTGATAGGCTATGAATAAAGAGTGAGAATAACACTGTCTGCAGCTGCTCTCTGTAGCTGCTGCCCTGCGGTGCTGAACTGGTTAACAGCTATATCAACAAGAAGAAGGAGCTGCTGAGCAGGAGGAGTTCAATAGATCGAGTCAGGCAGCATTGCACTGTGGGAACTGTAGTCCAGAGGAGAGGGACTCTACTGTAATCAAGAGCTTTTCAACTGCATTTCCCAGAGAGATTGCCAGGAGGGGACAGAGGAGCTGCATTTTCTCAGGGCGTAAAGGACACAGCTACCTCTTGTTATGAGAAAGACTGGAGAGTGTACATCTGTCTAGTGTGCTGCTGCATGTTGGTGGCCTGAGCGGGATCTGGAGTGCTAAGTTCGGAGATGTCTACAGCCAGAGCCACCGGGTGCAGAGCAGACAGTGGACCAAAAGCTGTGTGTGACTTGATGGAGAGCTGCAATATTGCTGGTACTGGTGAGCTGCTGCTGTGGAGCCTTACTCTCTGCTGCTAGAAAGAATGAGCCCTTTAACAACTGACCATACAGCAATCTAGTAGCCTTATTGCTGCCTGCAAGCTTGACTGGGACTATTCTCACATTCAACACCAACAGTACAACTGGGCCCCAGTGCTAGCCAGCTGAAGAGTTAGGACTAAGACTGTACCTTTTCAGCTGCTACACAGAAAGCTGATGACATGTTTAGAAGCTTCAAAGAGGGCAAATTGTTGGTGCCGCTTAGCTGGTGCCTCTGTGACTGAAGTTGCCAATTTATTTGGCGTGTCGATTGGTACAGTATTACAGGTTATGACGGCATATACAGTTTCCGGGAAACCGTCGTCTGATAAGCATAAGCGCGGTTCACTTGATCAACTGACCGAAAGGGACAAAAGGACATTGCGTACCCCACATGGGGTATTTTTTATTTTTGGTATTAAGTGAGTGTGCACATTTGATATTAGGAGTTTTTTTCCTGTATGTATGTGCGTTTTCCTTGGATTGTAGTCCTTTTTTGGACAGTATTCACATATTAGTCCCATTTGGATTATTCTATTTTATTGGTTTGAGTGTCCACCATCACCCTAGATCCAGTTTAGGATCAATTCACTCGGTGAGAGTATTGGTATATACTCTTCAGTTATTGCTATCACTTTGGATCCCTTAGTGGATTGCAATTCACTTTTTTCACAAAGGATCCCTAGAGGATCAGGTCATGTTTGGACACTAATAGTATTTTCATTTTGTATCCCATCTGGATCAGGTCACGTTTATAATATTTTCACCCTTTATCACTTTATATTTATCACATTTATTTATATGTACTTATGGTATGTTCAGGGGCGGACTGACCATTTGGAAACTCTGGCACTCAGTAAGGGGCCACATGAGATGCCCCTGGTATCTTTTTCATAGGCTTTTTTGAGTTTGGGGAGAACTGGAAAAAAAGGCGCTGTGGAAAATGCTCTCAGACAAGCACCTTAGTGGAGGTGCATCTTTATTGGGTGAGATAAAGTAGCAAGTATAATAAAATTAACCAGCCTGAAGTGGACAGTGTGATTCCAATTTTTATTATACTTGCTACTTTATCTCACCCAATAAAGATGCACCTCCACTAAGGTGCTTGTCTGAGAGCATTTTCCACAGCGCCTTTTTTTCCAGTTCTCTTCATCATGCATATGATTAACAAGGCAGCAGTGGTGAGCTCATGATTAACTGTTCACATGTTTCCACCTGGAGTGGCCTCTCTGCGCTCATTTGTATGAGTTTTCCTTTTTTTTTGAGTTTGGGCAAGGACACAGGGGCCCCATGATCTCCTATTGCCTGGGGGCCCCATGAGTTGTCAGTCCGCCTCTGGGTATGGTATTTATTTATTTAAATATAATTTGAGTAGCACTACATCATTTTTTCAGTCTTGTTCATTCGATCATTAGGTATATGATTAGATGTTAGCAGCTTCTCTTTGCTTTTTGTTTTCATTTGTATCATCACTCTTTTAGTTAGGAGCGCAGGAGGTTTCCACCAATATTTTCTAAATTTTTTTTGTCTAACCCCTGGTCCTTGGCATAGTGATCATATTGTCTAGCAGACTGTGTCTGAACCCACCTTCTGTGCGTTCATTTATGCTCAAACCATCATTTATTTGAACCCGTAGTCACAGCCAAGTTAGGCTACGTTCACACTAGCGTTGTGTGCAGGCGGCAGGGAGGCGTTTGGGAAGCGTTTTTATCACTTCCCAAACGCCTCTGCCAATTCTGCACATTACAGCACATGGTGCTGTTCTAACGGGAGCGTTTGCGTCGCATTGCGGCAAAAAGGACGCCTCTGGTCCAGTCAGGAGGCAT